CAATGGTCACATAGAGGCTGCCAGCTCGTTTTGGCACCTGAGTTAAGCACGAATCATACCGAATGAACATCGGACCAAAAATAGTTCCTGCCCTGTCAGGCAAGTCTGAGAGACACCCTGTGATCAAAGATGGGGAAGCAGACACAATGCCCAGTAGTCGCAGCAGAGCAGCTGCCTGACACTTGTGGAGCTTCCTCCACGCACTGCTGCGAAGGAGAGCCTGAAGAAAGGATGTGAAGGAGGATGATGATATAGATGGTTCAGCAGATGTTTCATTGGAGCTACTCCCATGCGTGAGAGAACGCACGAAGCTGTTCAATGGAAAATGTGCGTTCAGAAGTGGACATGGCACTGAATATGAGATAATTATTAAGGCATTTCTATTTTGGAGCCCTTCTGTGTGTAGTTTTACATAATAAATGTTAGCGTTGCCTTTCTACACGCACACACGATCCCCGGCCCAAACAAACAAGCAGCTTTTTTGCTTCTTGTCACTGATACCTCTCGAAGTTAAGTATCTTTGGCCACAAATAGATCATTGCCCTATTTGAAAAGTTCCTAGTGGAGTGTAGCCAGTTTTGACTGGCTATATATACCTAAGCTGGCAAATCGAGCAACCTCTCAGCTTTTGCTTCTATATATAAAGAGGAATGATATAGAATAAATCAGCTGGACGGAACATGTGTCATATCAATTTTTATACCAAAATTCTTTGCTTTCTGAGTCGGCTTTAGAGCCTGAGTGGGCAACTATAGGAAGCCCTAAACTCAGGTTTGGATGGGATGGTCAGGCAGTGCTAGGAACGTTAAGGTTGCTGACAGGTTTCCATGTGCCATTTAAGAATGGCTGAGGAATCAGTTTGTGTGAACAGAAGCCGTGCCTCATGAATTATTATAAGTCTCAGCACCGTAAAGCTGACCCCTGAACAAGTGCTGGAAAAGGATACAGAGAGATATACAGGGTTCAGACGAACTTACGGCTCTCTGCTCGCAGCAGAACCTAGTGGGAAGCACCATCGGTGAGCACAGGGCCATCGTGTCGTCCCCATCCATCCACCCCAAGCCACGCACCGCAACAGCGGGACGGGACACTGCGCGGGGGGGCGGGGGGGGATGCGGCAGTACCTCGGGCGGCCACCAGGTGGCGCTAAAGTGCCCCGGCGAGGCCGCGCTATGCGGGAGCAGCAGCGGAGCGGGGTGGGCGCTGCCGCGGGGGGTCGGGGCGCGGGGGCTTCCGATGGTCCTGGGTAACTCCGGATTGTGGAGCGTGAAAGGCTGACTGACGGCAGGCAGTGTCACAGCTTCCAAAATCTCCTGGCTTTCTTAGGGAGCTTGGAATTATTGGACCCGCTGCAGGTTTTTCCTGATGTTTGTTTGATTCCCCCTCAACCATTCAGACTGGAAAGATTTAAATTCCAGAAGTGCTATGACTTTAGGGCCCGTGAAAGCATTGATCCCCGCTTTGCAGCCCAGACTAAAGCTATAAATGCTCATTGTTTCATTCGTGTTTCATTTCTGTCCTGCTTCCTGCTGTCTGAGTGGAAGTGAATTTACTGCCAGCTGCCCCCTGGGCCCACCACAGAGACACCAATTCCCTGTTTGCAGGTTCCCAGCTGGAAACCAGTGAAGATTTAAGAGCTAAAAAGGGCTTACAACCAAACGTTGCTTCCCACACAAGCACTTCTGATACGCTGAGTTGTACCTCTTATCTCCTGAACCGAGTGTAACCATACCAAGGTAATGCTTTTGCTAGACAGGCAGCTCAAGTCAGACCTCCCGTACAGTGTTTTAGAAACAAGGAATAAATGAAGGGATGTGTATTATGTCCCACATCTGAAAATCAGCTTCACATGAAATATGCACTAAATGATGCATAATGATACATGATAACGGGGAAGGAAATGCCAGCTGCCTTAATGAATGGTGCTAGGCAAATCTGGAAAAATAAATTATAGAATAATCTTGTATTATATTCCCTTTGTCATAAACTTATTCTGACCCAGAACAATACTGCTGCTCTCCAATAGAAAATAACTGAGACGCAGCTATAATCACGATACAGGAGTCCAGCGCTCACTGGTTTGTATTTTCTCTTTGTTGGTCACATTTTGCTTCATCTGGTAAACGCTGTGGACAAGGCAAGAACAGAGTGAACTACTTCCAGCTAAGGCAGGAGGAACAGCCAACTGCTGCCTCTGGGTGGCTGGGGAGAAGAAGCAGAGCTTCAACCCAACACTTTGGCTTTCTCTTGAAGGGAGAGCAGGAGGGTGCTCATGCTTCACTTCAGCTCCCGACCTGTAATGCAGCCAGGCACTTTCTTTGGGAATTTGCTGGGTTGTTTTGTCCATTTTAGTGGGAATGAGTTGGGGATTAGGGCTGTTTTTCTGCTGTGACAATGTATGTATTGCTTTTGCTGGATTTCTGAGAGGCTTGTTTGCTCTGCAATGGGGATGAATGAAAGACAAAGAAACCTTGGAGAATATCCTCATCTAGAGCAAGCAGATGAATGTGGAAAATTCTCCCTTCTACTCACCCAAAATCACAGTACAACAACGTACTGCAAGTGTCTTTGCTAGATGTTCCCTAACAAAGAGAACTGGCCCTACTTAAAGGATCCTCTGCACTTTGTGCTCCTACACCTCATTCCCATTTTATCCACCTGGCACTATCAAACATCCTTCATCAGGTGAGGATACTGCTTTGCAAGCTCTAGATGCAAATACCATGCACAGGTGTGCTTGTGGATGTCCGTGTGATGGGCTTTGGGAACTCACATGGAACAGAATTTGCGTGTGGCTCCTTCCACCAAATAAGCAAAATTCATATTAAGAAGCTGCAGCACAACGTGTTTATAACTTTGTGGTTTTGCTCATGGTTTGGCATCTTTTAAAGTCAAAAGCCTACTCTGCACCTTAACACCTTTCCTAGGACTTCTGAGTATACAAGATGTGGGGGCTTAAAACAGTGACCGAATGGAAGGAAAGTAACGTGCTCTCACAAGGTGTGTGTGGTAGAGGCATGTTCTTTATTTCTGTTCCTTTATTCATAAAAATGCAACACATGCTTTACTATACATTATAATACATCGTTTTTATACTCTGATAAATGAAATTAAAATATCAAACAGAAAAACCCAGAAAAAGCCAGACGGGTTGAGAGCAGTGGTTCAAAGAGTATCCTGTCTCCAGCACTGGCTGGTATCAGATGCTGCAGATAAAAGTAGAAGAAACTGTATAGTAACCTGTTACGAATTAACATGCCCAGGAGAAAAGTTTCTTCCTGACCCTCATCAGTTAGTGGTTGACTTATATGCCAAAGCATACATTACTATACACACTCACGTATTTATATCTATCTATACCAAGAAGCATGTGACCAAATGCCAGATCAGGCTGCTGGTACTTTCACTTACAGGAAAGTCATTCCAAGGAAAGAATTTTCTTCACCGCAAGAGGCTCACACAGTACATTGCTGGGAGAGGGAAAGCTGCAATTCACAGCTTGGTAAGGGAAACTGCCTTCACAAACAGCACCTGAACTGTGTCCCTTTTGAAGATAACTGGGTAATTGTGATTATATACCTCAAACCTATATACCTATATCCACCTGCACCAAGATTACACACCCCCAGCCTGTCCTGCCTTCTTTGCAGCAGTGCTGCCTAACTCCACCTTCAATCTGTTTGGCTTCAGTTTAAGCCCATATCTTTCTGTCCCGTCCACCAGATAGAGAGTATCCCTCTCTTTTGATGCAAGTGATGCTTCTGCATATGAAATGGGCCAATTAATGAGCTTAAGAATAACCACTTCCACTCAGGCTTGTTAATATGCTTGGTTTTACCTGAAAGGGATCACATAGCATCCAGAACTTGTATAAGTGTGAGCAGAAAGAAATGCAAGATACATTAAAATAATGCGGTAAGTTTTAGAAAAGGAAAAGGAAAAGAAAAGGAGAAAGGAAAAGGAAACAAGAGAAGAGAAGGGAAGAGGAGAGGAGAGGAGAGGAGAGGAGAGGAGAGGAGAGGAGAGGAGAGGAGAGGAGAGGAGAGGAAAAAGCGATCAGTTTGCTGGTTTTCTTTTCATTAAATGTGATTAGCTTATAAAAAACTTTGAATTAGTCAGCATGATGGGAATGACTCATCAGACCTAATTTTAGCTGCTTAAAGTTAGCCAGCATTTCCAAAACAGTCATCTCATCTCCTTCAGTAGCAAACAGGGATGGATGAGCACTTCCAGGATAATACCATCCTATTGCCTTCAGCTCCCCAACGACTCAGGTGGGGATGGGATGGACTCCTCTGTGAAGACAGAACAAAGTTACAGCAACTACTGAGAGCCTTGGCCAGTAGGTGGTACTTCACCTCTTGGTGGCTGAGGTCAAGTGAGATAAATTCCATTTTAGGCAACCATAAATTCAGAGACAATAACTTTTACATTAGCAGGCTAATGAAACATAACGTAAATTAGATGTGATCATCATCAGGGAAAAAATAAAAGCATGATGAGATATTGCACATTGGATAACAGAGGTGTGCAGGGAGTGGAACTTCCATGTCACGGCAACTTCAAAACACTGACATTTTCTTTCTTTTTCTTTTTGCCAATGGAGCTGACAGCTGAGTGTGTTGAATTTCTCTGCAAAGGATCATTTTTACAGTCATTTCAGATGAATAAACATATCTCATTTTGACAAAATCATGCCGTTTGGTCTCTAGATTGAACAATTTCTTTCTAAAGCCGTGTAACACAATAAAAGCAAAAGCAAGACTGGCATTCTGAAATGAAAAGACATTTTGATTTTAAGGATGGCAAAGCTCCCTCTAAAACCTGCTCTGTCCTGAGGCTTAACAGGATTGTGCTGATTTTCATCTCAGACTTGAGATTGTATTTTGATTTCTGAGGAGTGCAAAGGAGCCCATTTGACCAGCTCTCATTTCTGACAGAGCCAAGCCTGCATGCAGCACCATAGCATGCAGCTAACATAGCACACAGATTGAATTGTGAGGCTGTGGCATTAATGGGAGCAGCCCACGACAAAGAAATGAGAAAAGCTCTGAGGATCTCATTGGGTATCTCAGAGAACTGAGGGTATAGCAGGTTCTCAAAGCTACCCAGTAACACTGGGTTCCATTACTGCCACTTGGCTTCCTCTTATATAGAACAGCCCTACATGTTCCCCAGTGCCACCCAGCAAAGGGGCTTCACTTGAACTACCAGAGAGGGGCAATTGTCACACAAGAGCAATCATTTTCTGTGATGGTAGAGGAATTTCAGAGCCTCCCAGAGGGACAGGGAACTGAACTCCCAAGTAAATTAGGCAGTTTTGAAATGTCTGACCTACAGGGCACACTTCATTGTTCTTGTTCTCTGCCTAGATCATTATCTCTCTCTGGGTATCTTCAGCATTAGTCCCTGCAGGGTAATAAAGTTTAGAAGAAGTTTGCTCAAGCACAGTAGCTGTCTAGTCAACCCAAATATAAGCTGCTTTCTTGTGCCAGCACTAATCTGTTACTGATACCCACACTAACCATTATGAAGCTCCTTTTAGCAGCTCAGTATTGTAATGTAGGCATGCTGACAGTATGAGGCTTATAATGTAAATACTTGTGCACACGAGCTCATTGTTTATACTCTAAAAGCTATGCTAGGAGAAGTTGTTGGAACTGATTTTAATTGCAGTGAAAAGCTAGATTTGTGACTCCAGCGATAGTGTGCTCAAGGTCACAGCTGCTTTCTGATAAGAAGCTTCTCCAGAAGGCTGACTGACAGTTGCCACTGAGTCTTCTGGATCCTCACAACTGGTGATGAGGGCAACCGCACTAAATGATTTCTGGTTTTCACTTAATGATTTGATTTCTGTCACTGATGTCTCTGCTTCTTTTTCCAGCATCTTCTCTGTTCGATTCCATTCTTGCTCCTTCCTATCCAGCTGCATGGCACTGCAGTGAGGAGCATAAACCTCTGTAGTTTCCTCAAACTGCAAGCAATCCACTTTATAGTACTTTTTCTTTACATGTAAGACATCATTAAACCTATAGCCCCAAAGAATCTCTCTGGGCACGTACGAGCTTCTTGACTGATGTGAAGTTCCTGTTGAATCCCCTGTGTAGACAAACGTGACCAAGATCTCAAAGTTGTCCTTGGCCAAAGCTTTCCGATCCAAACCATACAAAGGACTCTCACTATTAATTTCATGCACTACTGTCACTGGTGTAACAAGTATGATCTGGTCATTCAGCAGCTTCAAGTCTTTGTATTCCATTGTCATCCTTCCTTCCTTGTCTTCCTTGTAGCGCAGGAGCTGAGCTCGTACAGAGCCCTCCACCATGTGGTTTGGTCGGAAATCACCAATGCGCCACATCAGGCAAAATTTATCATCCCTCAGACCTACCACAGCATAGTAGCTGAAACGAATGGTTTGAGCTCTTTTTCGAGCTGTGGCCATTTTAGCCAAGGCTGCTCCGATGATGAAAGTGTCGATAATGCAGCTTAGTACTGACTGCAGGATAACCATCAGGATTGCCACAGAGCACTCCTCTGTAACGCAGCGGTAACCATAACCAATGGTCGTCTGGGTTTCGAGGGAGAACAGGAATGCCCCCGTGAAGCTATGAACATTTGCAACACAGGGGGTTGTTTCTTCATCGTTCAATAAATCTCCGTGTTGCATTGCTATCAGCCAGAAGACCAGTCCAAAGAACAGCCATGACAGAACATAGGACAGGGAGAAGATGACAAACATGTGACGCCACTTGATGTCCACCAGGGTGGTAAATATGTCAACCACGTAGCTCTCCCATTCCCCAAAGATGTGTTTGAAGTACACATTGCAGCTGCCATCCTTGTGGAGAAACCGCTTCTGCTGTCTTTTCATCCCCATTTCTGGGCTTTTTCTGCAAGAGCCTTTGTAACTGATCTTATTTCCCTGTATGTTTACAGGCCTATAGCAACCACTCTGTTCAGTCATCTTTCTCATATCTGCCTCGTGGCATCAGTTTACAAAACACACTTGTGGTCCCAGGGGCTATTTGTTTCCTTTGTTCATTGGAAATCTATGAAATAAAAGAAAAAGTTTATTTTTGTTTTTAATTTCGTATGCCAAACTCTGTAAAACTAAAACTAAATATACTTTCTGGCCATCATGAGCAATTTTCTGAAGAGTACAGACTCTGACACTGATTACGCCATATAGCTCAAAAACTCAGAAATTCAGCTAGAAAATCAACCGGCTAGAAATGTTCACATCAATCTTAAAATTTGTTATCTAGATGTAAGCATAATCCAAAACCTTTGCGGTGACCCCACTGTATCTCTTCCAAAGTTCTGGTGAAGTAGCATTCAAATCAGGAAGGGCTTTCATGAACACTCACAAGGATGGCATGAGCTCTCCGAAAGTTAGCCAAGCATTTAGGGTAGTCAGTTGTTCTGTGTTTGTTTTCCCACTCTAGAAGAAATGCCTAGGTAAATATTCTCAGTCAGCCAGAAGAATACAGTGTCATGGACTGACAAGTTCAGTTTTAAACAGAAAATGTTTCAACCACCCATTCGTCATTGTTGATATTTCAATATTGCACAGAAAAAAAAAAAATGCGTCAAGTGGTTTCTTTTTACTGAGCTAGAGTAAAAGAAATATATTTGCAGCTCACATGAAAAAGAAACGCCTCTGAGGTCCTACAAACCCTCACAAATAATTCCTTAAAACAACAATAACAACAAAAGTCCAGTTGCCAAGAAGTATTTAGATTTTTATTAACAAATTTGGAGCAAACATGCACTAATAAAATGTGTGGATGACACAACTTTAGAAAGTGATGTGAATTAGGAGATTCCTCTGTCAGATCAGAGAAAAAATTGATGTCTTGGCAGATTGTAACCGTATGAATTTCAGCAGTATGAAGTGCTAGGCTGTGCATTCATTGACTAATAACAAGAATTTGTGTTAGAAACTGAGACCTCGTCAGTTGAAATCCATTAAAAAGCAAAGACTTAGCTGAAGTAGTCAGATACAGGATGCTTCTGAGTTACTTGTAGGATACAGCACTGAAAAAAGGAAATGCCTTTTCCTACAGATCTCCAACTGATTCTACTATATCCCAACCCCTAACACAGATATATAACGCTGAAAAATCCAAAGCATATACCACTTCTTGAGGAAAAAACTCTCATTTTCCAAAATTGTGAGCTTTCAGTGGAAAAATGGCAAAGACTTTTCCCATTTTTAAGCTGGTTTCATGTGAGAAGAGTTCAGATGTAGGCATACAGTGAAGCCAGAGTATTCATGGAAAATGAATTTACAGAAATGTTTCCCAGTTCGTAGTCTTTTTTTCTCAGCTCTTCATTCACTTTGCAAACGTATAAACGACTGCACACAGTTTAAGGCAGAAGAGAGTCAGGCCCATAGAGTGTAATATATATTGGATGGACTAGATTAACAGACTGAGAACGCTTCTCCCATCCAAGTAACAATGACAAGCATGCACGGACACTATTCCAAAAACACTTAAAAGCCAAACATAGTTTCCATTTCTTTTTTCTTTTCTTTTCTTTTTTTTTTTTTTCTTTTTCTTTTCAGTACAGAAATGAATGTGACATATGGTGTCGTAGCCTCAGAATGTGGCCTGCATTAAAAAATGTGACATATGGTGTCGTAGCCTCAGAATGTGGCCTGCATTAAAAAACACAACATTAATGTTTCCAAAAATACTTCTTGGAATACAGTCTTTGGAAACATTCATATGACTTGCTTTACTCATTGCTTTAAACAAACACTTTAGCCTCGTCCATTGACGACTCCTGACCTAACATTTTATAAGTCGTAATTAACAACAAACAAAAGCTAGAAGCTGTTGTGCAATTTTTTTAAGAACCTCATGATGTGAGGTGTGAAAATGAAGCACACTGTAATCAGGAGTCAATATGTCATTACACACAACACATATTGAGGGTTATGCTGTTTTTCTTATTGACTGCTTCAGACGAGCATGCCTTTAAATTACTCACAAACTCTAAACAGAGTTCCCAGTTCATGAAAAAAAGACTGCTGAGTTGATTCCACTCCCTACTGTTGCCTTCAGCAAATAATCATATTTCAAAAATGGTGTTTTGCTGGTACCATCTTTAAATGTCAATGGTGTTGGCAACGCTGATAGACTGTCAGACATGCAACTAAGTGGAGAAGTCCACCCAAATTTTACAGTAGTCCACGATGCACTGGAGAGAACTTTGTTATTCCTCGTGCATTAAGAGCTTTCACCCCACTTAGGGTCTCTCTTAAGTACAGGTGGTGGTTATATATATATATTCTTGTGAGTGCCTCAGGTGGGGTTCTGTCTGGTGTAAATGAAGCCATGCAGTTAGATGCTGGACTGGATTTTGCAAAACAATTGCATGAGTATGCCTATAGTATAATATATAATAAATATATAACATAATATATAAAATAATATATAACATATAACACGTGTATATAACATACAACATATATAGCATTTGACATACAGTATGTAATATGTAATATATAATATATGACATAGAGAGAGCAGATCTATAAGAAGAAGGAACATGATGCAGAGCCTTTTCAACCAGAACCAAATAATCTACCCCTGGAGCTAGATGGATTAGAATAGAATCAGTGCAGAGGAAAAGTAACACATATATTGCTCTCAGTTAATCTTTCTCCATCGTGTTGAAAATTGGCTTGCTCAGAGCCATTTGGCATTGCACAGTGGAGACGTGCCCCAAATGACCTAAAATCCCAAATGTGCTTGAAAGTCTTAGGAAATAGCCTCCTCAGTCACTCAAAAACATCTACAAATGTTGCCCAGTATTTTGGGTGTGCTTAAAGGTGAGCCAAGTCCGAACTTTTCCAGGCTACCTCTTCAAGTCTCCTGAGTGCAATAATAATCATGCATCATAATTAATAACTCTTTTATATTGTCTGATGTTGCTCAGAACGTTTTAAGCCTAAAAAAAACATCCTTCAGTGTTTCTGAATTATGTAAGCTTGTATTACGATCTGCACTTCATTCATGGGGACACTTTTTAAAGTGATTTTCCTATTTCAAACAAGAGGCACCGAGGCCAGATGTTCATTGCTTGCTCTATGGAGACACTCTGCCTTTTGCAGAGCAGCCTGAAGGCTATTATTACTACCAAAGTTTAAAGAGGAGAAGAGCACAGACTTATAACCAGACTTCTGCACCTCAATCTTGGAGCCATGTCAAATATCTTATTTTTCAAAACAGACAAAATATTTTACACATCCCGAGATGCCCGTAGGAATTGCATTAAAGGTCCTGCTACCTGGTAAAGATTAACAAAGAGGATGGGGGAGGATTTAAAAACATTCCCTACTCACTAAGGCTCATGGATCAGTTGCTGCAAATGATTCTCAGATGTTGCCAGGAAGTGTATTCACCTTCCTCTAACAATCACAAACCCTCACCCTTTTTTTGCCTTGCTTTTACTTTCTGTATGTGTTTTATTTTCCCCCTTTTGCTTTTGGGCATGTTTGTACACATCATAAGCCTCCTCTTGCATACTATCCTGTCTTTCAGAGCAAGAAGTGCATGGAAATTTACAGCACTTTTGGTAACTATACATATAAGTATATTTAACCCCTACGTACTGGCTGATTAGAGATAAAAATTGAGCAGCAAAGTTAGGCAGGATAGAAGGAAGAGAGCAATTGAGATATCTCAAAGGTTTCATTAGGGTAAATGCCAGAGAGAGTTCAGAAGTTCTTCTTTATGAATCAGACTCAGAGTTCAGAAAATAAGCAAATACTCTTAATTATCTGAGCCAAGGCGAGGATCTTACTGTGTTGTGTACTGCAGCACGACTGCAGAAAGCTGTGCTCGTAGGGTCTGCACAATGACCCCCAAACTGGTATCTCTGAAATTTTCACCCTGATTAGATATGGGAGAAAGGTAAGCACATACACCTGTTTAAAAGGCCATAAAGTAGTGCAGTGGCAGAACTAGGAACAAACTCAGCACCTAATTACATCCATTTAAGAGTTACAACAAAGCAAACACTAGTAGAATCAAGCCTTTGTATTATATTTATCATCTTAATCTAGTTCCTCTTGAATAGAGCGGTTGTACAAGAACTCCTCTTGATTGTCATCAGCTCTCTCAGAAGCTTTAAGCATCGTGTTAAGGCTTAAAGACTTTTAAAGGCTTTCAGTAAATGTAACCCGCAACTTCGTTGTGATATTTTGAGTTTAGGGTTTAGCGTTTTATGGGGATAATTCCTGTACTGCACCTTAACCTAATGCCTAACGAGTTGTTGTTACACCCATTTTATGACTTTATTTTCCCATTATGTAAACATGTAGAAGCAAATTTTTGTTCAGTGACAACTTCAGTCAACAGTCTGTTTGTAAAGCATTAAGCAAAACAATGTGAAGATCTTGGTTCCAGAATAATTATGTTCTGAAGATGAGATCAAATCAAAAATAAGACAACTCAAAGCCTCCGAACGAAGCTGGGTCCTCTCTGCTCAACTCCACACACATGGAAGTGGATATCTCTCTTGCATTGGCTTAGCAATCACCTCACTTTCCCACTTCATTTTGGAAAAGGTCTGAAAGGTTTCCAGTTTTAGTCATTGTTGTGTAACCCTGGAAGTCTTTGAGCTCATAGACCAGAAATGTGACAAGTAGAAAGAAGCCTTTTGAGCTGCCTTGGAACTGACTCAGATACTTGTTCCCTAAAAAAAAATCCAACCACCACCACCAACAACAAACCACCACAGAATCTAAATAAATCTATCGTAGAACAGTTGATCTCTTCTTTTCCTTCCTTCCTTCCTTCCTTCCTTCCTTCCTTCCTTCCTTCCTTCCTTCCTTCCTTCCTTCCTTCCCTCCTTCCTTCCCTCCTTCCTTCCCTCCTTCCTTCCCTCCTTCCCTCCTTCCTCTCATTTTTAGAAAGGGAATCAACTTTCCCTTGCATCAGAAAAGTCATATTCTTGTTCTGCAACATGGAGAGTAAGAATATTTATATTCTTTTATATTTAGTTATCTCCATCTCATCTTAGATCCCCA